ACTATAGACCTTTTCCACAAGGGCGCCGCCATCTTGAATTGACGTCACTTCCAGTATGGGCGAAAACGTAACTTTGCCGTCGCCACGCCAATAGAAGACATTTAGGATATAAGCCTAACCGTCACACATTCTCGTTTTGACTCGCCTCTATTTTTTTACTAGTTACAGGTTGAAACGTTTTACTTTTTTTTTCGTCGCCCATACTGGAAGTGACGACAATTCAAGATGGCGGCGCCCTTGCATAGCAGAGAGGGTAAAAGAGAAAAAAATGCACTCCCCCTCTCACCCCGCATCTCGTCCGCTCCGCCGAGTGGGCTGTAGCTAGCGTCCGGCTGACGTGCAAACTCTGTTTAAAATCGCGTCATTTTGGAACTTTCAAGCGCAGATGCGCAGATTTTGGTATGCCAGTTGTCGTGTAATACTATGCTAGATAAAAAGAGTCACTGGATCCAATTACGCTGTTACCTGCGTGCAAATAAAAAAAAAGAGGGAAAACTGTGCCAGATTGGCCGGTCTCTTTGGCGAAAAGTAAATCCGATTGCTGTACCTTTTTTACTATACACTAGTTCGTACTGGTGTAGGCCTTTAGCGACCATGAGTGGAAGTCTGAAATAATAAATAAAACGTGCTCTCCTGCCGCAATACAAACAGTAGTTGAGGATAGTACTGCCGGTTGACTCAACTGCTATTTAAGTAACGGAACAAATATATGCTAGTTGACCATTTAGCAAAATAGAACAACAGAGAGCTATAGGCTGATTTTGGAGTAGCAACAACTATTTTAAGAACGCGAACCACTTCACAACGGCAGCCACGAGCGAGAGTTCCATGTTCCGTACAGCCCGCGGATACAGCCCAAAGATGGAGAACGGCAACCTCCCGGTTTGTCGTCTGCTAGCAGAGTCGGGCGCGTGCCCTCTCTCGCCGAACCCTCTGAACTTCCCGGATGTGTGGAGAGGGCGCTGCGGTCTAACAAAATGGTGCCGCCCAGAGAGCGCTAAATGGAATGGTCTATAGTGTCTACGCGGCCGACGTCATGCCCTCTCCTACCCTTCTGTCCTCCTTGGTTTTCACGGAAAAAAACCATGGATGAATGAATACGGCTGAGCCCTTTGGATCGGGCGGTAGCTTACTCCACCTAGCCATTTTGTTTTACCATTTAAGCTTAGAATATTTAAATGTGAAATCTATATTCACTCCGCAGTGCAAAGTAAGTGAGGCTATGAAACCCCCTTGCCATCAGTGAATAAGAAAATACCTAGTTTTCTCTCGATTTCTGCCACCATTCACTTAATCTTTGCTTGGTAATCTCTACAGTCTTGAAATCCACTCTCCCTTCGCTGTCTCTAAAATCCAATGACTTTATTACATCTATGTTGTCTTCGGTAGGCATAGGGTGAAGACCTTTACAGTAGAGTATCAAGTGCTCAGCCGTCTCGTCCTCCTCTCCACAAGCAGTGCACACTGTATCCATTTCCTGGTAATTCGCTCTGTATGTTCTGGTTCGAGAACACCCGTCCTCGCCTCAAACAACAATGAGCTTCCCCTAAAATTGTCATAAATGCTTTCTTTGGCAATAACTGTTTTGTTTAATCTATAGCTTTCCAGAGCCGTCTTTGTCTGCATTCTCTCTAGCCACCGATCTCTTTCTGTGGCCTTAACTTTCTTCTTAAAGAACCCTTTCAGGCAAGTTTAAGTTTAATATATTCCTAGTTAACCCCTTAAAACGTTTGTTTCAAGATGGTTCCCAAAACGTGCAAGCGCGGAACGGACTTTGTACACTGCGCGACACTGATACCGCGAACAGGACGTTGGCTCTTTTTTCGAATTTTACTTCGAAATGGTTTTAGTAGGCACCAAAGTATACCGCTTAGGTCTGTGGCCCAGATGAGCACTTCTAAAGACACAAATATTTTTGAAAACAGCGTTTTGATTCTATGAGATAAGCATAAAAACATATAAGGGAGTCTTAGAATAACGTACTCATGCACTTTGGGCAAGCTAAAATTAGCATCGCCATAGGTTTTACATCGCAACGCTATTTTTACGGTACCCAAAGCGCTTGCGTACGTTTTTCTAAATCTTCCTAATAGTGAACTAGATAATTTTGAGAGCGATGAATCAGACAGGCTGACAAGCATATGACTGGGACTTTATTTTGTTTACAACTTATAACACAACCCTCGCTCACACGGAAAAAGCTTGAAGGCTCTCTAGCTTCAAGATGTCTTTTAGTTATTATTTTTAACGACGCTGTAGTGAATTTGCACTTCGCTTTTTTTTTTTTTTGTATTCAATGAACCTGAAAGATTAATGAGCAAACTTCTTGCTCTCAACAACAATTTATGATTTGCGGCATAAAATTGCCCAGGCACGGCCCGGGCCGGCGCGGCCCGAGAACTTTTTTGTTCAAGCCCGAGCCCGGCCCGGGCCCGAGAAAATACGTGCTACCCGGCCCGAGCCCGGCTCTCGGGCTGGCCCGGGCCCGTGCAGTGCTCTAGTACCACCCCTGTCGCCCCGGCGGACGCGCCGCGTTCAACTAGCGAAGTCAAAATGCACCTAGGGCGGGACGCGCTACCTGAAAGGCCGGCTGAGGCATGGTTGTATAAAAACAATATTAATTGTGCCGCAAAACCCTCCAAACTAAAGATTTTAAAAACATAACGCGCCCCCCTTTTTGTACTAAACTCCAATAAATTTCATACAAAAAGAGTCTTTTTTCATTTGTTTTTACGCAAAAACAGGCTTTCAAAAAGCTCAAGCTGACCACAGTACAGACAAATGATAAAGAGTGGCGCTGTTGTCGCATTTAGCTCGGTCTCGGTGGACGCCAGCGACCCAGGTTACGACGGCGAGTTTCCCAACTGAGTTTTAGTAACGTTGCTTACATGCAAACGTGACCACATCACGTGACCGTAAATAGCCTTCGTCTTGCTATGGGTACTAGAATACATCACAGTCTAGCCTTCGATCTCATAAAACCATAGAGATCATATACTAAATCTAGAGGAAAAGGTCCGCCATTTTCCCATACATTCTGGCTGCCGCAAGCGGCGGACCATGCAGGCAGACCCTCTGGGTCCCAAACACGGTTACATCATCAGAGCAGTTTCGTGAACTTCAACAATCCACGAACTTACCGGTGGAAAAATACTCGCGTTCCTTTCGAAGGTTTCTTTTTGCATAGCGCGCAGATGTACGGCCTCGCGTTAACGCTAAACTAAACCATATACCCGGCTTCGCTGGTGGGGCGCGGCTGGGCGCGGTTGAGGAATACGAAACTGCGCAACCACCAGATTTCCGAGATTTCGACAGAAGGGAAGTTAATGCAGCGTAATGACTTTATTGCTTTTTATAAGCGTTAGAATAGCTCAGAATTTAGTTTACAACGTTAAATTATCACTGTTTATATTGCTGAGAGTTTACACTCTTCGCGTTTACCGCGTTTACCATGGCAACGTTGCTTTCTTTCTCTCGTGTTCTGTCGCTCTCTTTCGCGATCGTTCACTCGGGACCCAGGATGTCGGCGCACGGGATTTGCCACTCCTCCTCACCCACCTTTACCCCCCTGCATAAAACCTACCGGACGGAGCGCGCGCAAGCCTGCAAGGATTCCCTTCTACAGTCAACCATCCATCTCACACGTGATATGTCACGCGCACCAATCGCCAAAGAGATCTGTGGTCACGCTGGGCCACGGCCGGTCTCGACGCGCGCGCTCTGGGCACAATATCGTTTAAACTTTTTATGACTAGGCTTCATTAATATTGCCACGAGCCCCCTCCTAGTACTTCTAACCTCCTTGGTGACAACACGCTGGGCAGTCGACTTTACGTAGCAGACCGTACCGACAGAAGTACGACTATGGTGCCTGGATCGCGTCTTTGACTGGTGTGTTTACCGCGGCCAAAAAAGTGGTCCCTCGATTTCCGCCTGATGACGTCATAGAAGTGTCATGCTGTCGCCGGTCGCGACCCTGGTGGCGTCCCAACAGTTATGGTGTTTGTACCAGATGCCTGTTCTGCTGCAGGTCGCTTTCCACTGTGACAGTTCACGGAAGCTGGTGCAGCCGGAAGTTGGGACACCTAACGGGACGCCGTGACGACAGCGACACTCGCGTTCGCTCGTGCTTTTTGCCAGCATTTCTACGGCCAACCGCCAGGATCGCGACAGGCAACAGCATGACACTCGCGTCATTTGTTGCCGCATCGGGACCACTTTTGATCTATGGGCGGGATAGGACGCTAAACACACCAGTCGAAGACGCGCTCCAGGCACCATAGTACGACTGCACCGTGACGGACACGATGTGCAGCGTCTGTGGAGCGTGCGAAGAAACCATCGAACACCTGCTCATCGAGTGCAAGGCACTACTTCCAGCGCCTATCGTGGGATCGCGTATCGAGCAAGCACTCGGTTTTACTGAGGAACACAACCATATAGCCTGCTCTAAGCGGCGACTCGAGACATTTCATTTCATTTTTCATTTCATCTATTGTTCCCTCAAAGCGCCCGGAGGCATTACATGAGGGGGGGAGAGACAAAAGAAAAAGTTCGCTGCAAGAACAAGAAAACACTAACATTGAAAACAGCACGCGACAGATCGCGTGCTGTTGAAAGACTCATCGATAACACCAGTGTTTTTTGTTTAGTTAGACTCTCGTTGCAAAGAGATTGCGCTGCAAATATACATACATACATACATACATGGTCTATTTTTACTTTTAAGAAATATTATGCATGAAAATGAACGAGACTGATTAATCAAGTAACTAATTCCTTAAAGCGTAGCGTTTAATCGGATTAAATTTTTCAATCGACGCCCAGCCCCCCCAGCCCTACAACTCCAGGGACTCTACTACAACCAACGTCTACCAAATTTGCGCCTCACATTTGTCGTCTGTTCGCTTCCTACCCGCTCCGTCACCGTCACAGGAGAGCGTCCGCTAGGTGGCGCCACTAAATCTTGTTTATTCTTTCTATCATCATCATCGTCATGTCCTTTTCCTAGCCCCCTAGCGGCTAGCCCGCTGCACGCGCTGCAACTGGCATCTGCTGGAGGTGCTGAAGGTACCGGAGGGAGTCTACGGAGGCGTCGATCGGCCTCGTCTGCCTGATGAGCCTTACTTTGAAAAATTGCGAGAAGAGTGGAGGGTAGTTCGCGCGCGGTGTGCATGCTGCAGGGGGCAGCTCTCTCTCGATCCTGTCTGGTCGTGGCAGTGACACAGGCTCATGGACGACGATGAACGGGCTCCGCTGCTCCAGACTCCCGTCAACCAAGGCGCCAGCGAGTCACTGCGCAGCAACCGCAGTGCGTGCAGTTCGACCAGCGAGGCGCTATCCAGCCAGTCTGTCAGGTCAGTCTTCGTGCCACTGCACGCCGTTCGCTCGTTCACCGAGTGACGAGCGCTACAAGTTTTCCACAGCAACCAAGTTGCGACATATCGCAGATAAAGCTCGCTGATAGCCGTATTATCCAAAGTCAGATAGCCTTCTGACCGATTTCTCGTCGAGGTCTCGCATGAAGACCTCGGGGGTTTGACATGAAAATGCTCGCCTGTTTCAAGCTGGACCCTATCCGAGGAATTCGTGTTGCAGCGCGAGGATCTAGGAATGAACTCTTCTATTTTGGTTCACATCTGTCATTGTATCATCCCTCTTCGTGTTTGATTTAGGTGATCAAGCTGTCCTTTTTATTCTTTCCGTTGTGTAAAGATAAGTAATGTATTCATTCGGGTGCAACCTTCACTTATATTTACTGTTGGAACTGTCACAGTGCCGTAAAAGGGATGAAGCCTCGTCGGGTGGCTTGAGCTGCCTCTTGCTTCACCCTCCCACACGATTGCCTGAAAATAAGCATAATTATATTCATTCAGTCATTCATTCAACCTTCTGGAGCGTACCTAAAGCCACAGTAGCACTGCTTATTCATTGTGCCAAAGACATTCTACAGACGTGTTCAAAACTTGCATATGTATGAGTTGTCTGAATTTGGCTTTTTTCTCTGTGGTCTCCCGCAGGAAGCCCTTCCACTACCCGGTCGGGGAGCAGGGCCGGGTACTGTCGGATCCAGACTTGAACGCCGCGGCAACCTACAGCCGCTATCGCTACTACAACAAGCTCGTGCATCCAGCCACACAGCTGCTGGTTAGGCTTCCTTTATCGTACACGCTAAGGGATGTCTCTAGGGACTTGGAACGGCGCTGACAGATGCGGGCGCCGTCCTTTGTAAAGGGCCTCTTTAGCATGAGCGCGTGGTGTCGGCATTCCGACCCTTGCGCTCGTGCCACTTTGGCACGGTGACTGAAACATGTCTCCCACCAACGCCTATAGTAGCCTCCTATTCCGCCCACGCGTCGAAAGCTGTCTCGAACTGGCAGCGAATGACAATGCAAAAACCGAAGTGTCGTGCTGTCAGATGCCGTGATCGTGGCAGTAGACGTTCCGGAAAAAAAAGTAAGAGGGGACGTGATTGTTACTGTCGTCGCTGCGTCCCGATCGCTGGCTGCCGACGCTTCTGAGCGCGGGGTCTATGTGAGTCTGGCCCGTCTCCTGGGTCCTGACGCGCTGTTTTCTTGTCGACCTTTGTGGCAGACGATTCCCGACCATGTTGTGCCGGCTTACTTCCTGGTCCCCTTCTTCAACACCGAGGCGGGAGGAGAGCAGAGCAGCCTTGTGACGATGTGAGTGGGTGTTGCGGGACAGCTGTGGAACTCCCGGTGCACGCGTGCTAACTTGGGTTTCGGCGCTCAACAAGAAAGTTGACGATCTTGCCAACTTTCTCGCCGAGTGTCCAACTAAAATGTCCTCTGTGCACGAAACACGACTCGTCGGAACCCACTGTAGCTTTCTTTGAGAATGGGCTACCTATGTGGCACAGAAAATGTAATAAAATTTAAACATTTTTCAAAATTCGTTAAAAGTTTTTGTTAGTGCGTTTTGTATGAATTTTCCTGTAAGTATAGTGGGGAGAGTTGCGTACCTTTACGTCCGGGGACCGGTACTCAAAAGGGAGCTCGATGCCCGTCCCACCGCGCGGCCGACTTTTACCAGCGAGGGCAGTCGCTGCGCCGGGTTCGCCAACGCCATGGCAACAACAATGATCCGGTATCCAACAGCGTTTATTGGGAAACAGCGGTCCCTAACAGTACACTGGGGTCAAGCGAGTTGAGGAAACAGAGTGCCCACAGCGCCGGCCGACCGGAGAGCCCGAGGGGTATCGCGAGTGGAGTCGTCGCTAGTGGGCCAAGCTCACGCCGCTACCCGTCTTGGTAGGAGTTTGGGCCAGGGCTCTCTGCAGACTGACATCCACTCGGAGTAGGGGACGCCGGCTGTGAGAGCTAGGGGAAACGCTAGCATTGAGTCATCGCAGGTCGGATGAGCTCGTATGCCGCGACTCAATCTGTTGACCAGATTCCAATCCAGAACTCTTTGATCAGACAGCTGTCCACTCGGAGGAGGGAAGGCCCGACTGCCCGACGCAATTTAGCTTGCCCTCCAAAAACGGGAGACGCGCAGAGGAGTGCGAGAGGGTAGGCCAACATGGTGGCGTACTCTCCCCGATATGATACGGAGGAAGCAGGACGTCTTTGGGCTTACGCCCTCTCGGGGGAGGGAAACCAGTGGCTCTCACAATGTGGGCTTTAGCTGCAGAAATATGCCACGGGAGAATTATTTTTCTTGATTCATCCATTCATGACGATATTGAAACTTGCTCCCATTTGTGCAAATATTGCAATCATAGTAGTACAGTCTAAATGCAAAAATGTTCCAAAAGCCGGGATTCATGATTAAAAACAAATACCTCCGACTTGCATGACAATACCAGCAATTTATAATTAGACGTTTCGTATCCTATGCGGGAGACATCATCAGTGGAGCCTAAGAGCTTAGGCTGCACTGATGATGTCTCCCGCATAGGAGATGAAACGTCTACTTATAAATTGTTGGTATTGTTATGCAAGTCGGAGGTATTGGTTCTTAGTTAGTACAGTCTAAGCTCATTACAACAGACCTGGTTACAACAGACATTTGGATATAGCATACCGATATGTGAAGTTCGGTTGATTTTCCTCTATGTACCAATGACTCAACTTGATATCTGCATACAACATACTCCTTTTACAACAGACCAAAATCTTGTTCAACATCAAGGTCTGTTATAATGAGCTTAGACTGTACACGTGGGGGAATTTTCAACGCAGTTTCGCTGCGCCAACCGGGGGGGGGGGGGGGGGGGGGGGCTGCGATTTATTCAGTAGACCAGAAAATATGGTAAATATAATTGACCAAATGGGGCAAGTTCACACATTCTAGAGGTAAAAAAGTTGAGATTATTTTTTGGGGGCAATGTTTGATCGCTTTTCCTTTGCAGATTCGCCATCTGGAACACAATGATGGGTACCTCTCTACTGAGCATGCCTTGGGCCATCTCACAGGTCAGTGGGGTTTCAAAGCCCTCGGGGGGCCTCCCGCACATTCTAGTAATTACACGCGACTTACGCACGTAACTCAACGAGCTCAAACCCTCGTGGGGCTCCTTAGCTCATCGTTAATGTGCACAGCTCAGGGAAATCCAGCGTGTCGACTTATTCGTTAATGCTAATTTTGAATTTACATTCATGCTTCAAGTATTCGTGCTCCAAGCCTCGGCAGGGCTTTCTCTCAGAGACGCTGCACGTGACGACGTTACTGCCGTCGAGGCACGACATGCGTGCCAAGTTGGGTACGCACGTTAACATGAAATGCGTATTGAGTTCATCGCCCCCTTCGGGACCGCTTTCAAGGTGCGGGTGGAATGAGACACCAACCCCACCGGTCTCAGATGCGCTCCGGGCAGTTTCGGATTACGCGTCACCCCCGCCCTTGCCATGTTGGCAGAGACCGAAACGCGTTTCGGACTGGCGCGCCCGGCGTGCACTCAGCCCGTACGTCGGAAAGGGTCCCAAAACGGCGACATACAGTGCAATCCACTTATAACGATCAGGAGAAAGCCGAAAATTCATTCGTTATAACCGATAACCGTGGTATCTGAACTAGAAGCTGGATGTTTCTAGTCTTGAAACTCTATGTTATAAGCAGTACATCCTTATATATGGTATCAATATAAGTGGATTGCACCGTACGACGCTGTTGGGACTGGCGTGTCGCTCGGTTGGACATTGCTGTCCCGGCAGTTGGTTGCGGAAGTCCCTTCGACAAAGTATGGGCGAACACCGGGGTCGCCGTCGCTACCGCACCGCAACCCGTCGCCGCAGAAGTTTCCCCGGAGTAAAATGGCGAAGTGGGTGAGTTGGTTCGTGACTTATAGGATAAAAGCGCTAACAATAGACAAGCACAAAAAAGTAAGACGAACAGGACGTGCGCTTACTCTTAACTGAACATTTGCTTAAAAACGGCTAAAGCAAACAACTACCGATAAAAAAACACACTGAGTCACTCAATGACATCACCCATCACCACGTGTCAATAAAATCAAGCTCTCTTGGATGCAGAAAAATTGACGACCAGCTGACGCAGCCTTGTTCATTGCAGAGATTGTCTGTGCCAGCCCAACTTTCAAAATACCATGATTGTGGGACGGGCCTGTGGAAAGGTTGCAAGGGAACTGCTAGGAGTGCATTCCATAAAGAAAAAGGGCACTGAAGGCTGCATAAGCCAGCCATCAATTTTTATGCATCAAAAAGGGATAGACTTTATACAGAACGCAAATTCATGTGCGTCTTTTGCAGGGGTTGTGATGATGTCGGAATGCCGAGCTCTGATTGGCTTTGAATGAAAGGATAGTGGGTAGACCTCAGTGCTAGCTACCTTGAGGTCTACCCGCTAACCTTCCAATCGAAATCAATCGGAGTTCGACGACATTCTGACGTCACCGCAACTCCTGCGCAGGATGCGGACGACTTGCTCTCCGCATGGACACGGGGTGATGGGTGATGACATTGGATGGCTCGGTGCATTTGTTTTTATCGGTGGTTGTTTGCTTTAGTGGTTTTCAAATAAATGTTCAGTTGAGAGTTAGCACTCGTCCTGTTCGCCTTCCTTTTTTGTCCTTGTCAATCGTTAGCGCTTTTAATTTTATAATTCCGCGGAGCGTTGGTTTCCGCTGCCGTGCCTACCGCCGGGACCCTGGCAGACGGCGGCGTGACGCTCGTGCAGCGTCATCTAGTGGAAATCGAGAGGCGACGTTTAAGGGCACGACAAGCGCAGCGGTCGGAGACGTGCTCCAGGCGGCAGTGTGGAAAAGGGGCGAACCGGGCGGTTGTCTGTGTTGCAGGCAGGCTTCGCCACGGGGACCCTTCTGATCCTGGCCATCGGGGGGCTGTGCCTGTACACCGCCTTCAGGGTGTTGGACAGCACACGGCTGGCAGGTGGGTGCACTAGGGACGCTCGACTCCCGGACAACTTGCTAACGCAGAGTGTGCTTTACGAAAAATCATAGCGAATGAGCGTCGGGAACGACCGACGGGGACGAGTGGTACGCTGGGAGGATTATGCTACGTTGAGGCGAAACGTAAAGCGTAGAAAGACCCATGAAAATTGATATAAGACACCCCAGCGGGACACATACCTGGGTCGGTTCAGTAGCCGTCGAATACAATTGACCCATTTTCTTTTTACAAATGTGAGCCGTCTCTTGGCTCCCGAGAGACTTACGGTCACGCCGTTTCGGCGGGCCTTCCGAGCCTGTTGATGCTGCAACTCCTAGGACGTGGAAGTTCTACAGAAATCACGAAGTTGGGATTTAGCGAGGTCCTCACGCTGTGCCATACAACGGATGAGAGAGGATTGGTCGTCTTACGGGAGTAGTAAAAAGGCAGCGACTATTTTGTCGTATTTCAGAAATTACTTTGACATCTATGACGTCACTCGTAGAACATAAATATAGTAGCTTTATTATTTCAGCGTTCCCTGTCACTGCGGCAGTCATTCATACTTTCGTTCTGTTTAGTTTCTGTCAATGTTGTGTTGATGAATCCACGTGTCACTGTATTACATTCCTAAGAAGTTTCTGTCCTACTCGGCACTGGGAATGTCCCATTCTGTGTGTGTGTGCTCGACTGGCTCGGCGGTTCATCCTATCGATCGTGACATGCCTGGCAGCTATGTTTTGAGCTCTGGCACGTAATTTCGGCATGCGTCTTGCTTAAAATGTTGAATTCAAAGGCGAGCTGGATGTCCCTCTATCTTGCCTGGACTTAGCAAATGCAAGTACATGCACTACGTAACACTGAGAGTTTGGCACATTTTTATTGCCTCCGCGCCTTCACTACCGTGTGAGTGCATGTTCGTATGATCGCAAAGTCTCACTTTGCATCTGGCTCCCACCCTGTTTTCAACCAGGTTTCGTGGGTTTGTTTTTTAGTCCAGATTTTGTTTTTGGTTTTTGTATAACGAGTGGGTGGGCTACGAAACAGTTGGAACATTATATAAAATATTGTGAATGCAAACATAGTTTCCTTGATGTTTCTTAATTGGTGCAAACAATCATCAAAGGTTCTGATGTGCCGAGCAAAAAATTTGATATTACAGTCTGCGCCACGGCTGTTTGAGATACACTCATTTTCCGGCGGCAAATGTCGTTCAATTAAGTGCAAATTTTATAATGAAATTCAGCTGCTTTGTTTTTATAAAACACTTCAAATAATTATTGTGAAAAGCAACAGTGCCGCATTTTGTAATGTTTATCACAAACAGCAAACATTAGGTGCGTCCTGATAGTTTATAGTTTTTTTTGCATTTCCCATCACTTAAAAGGTCATCAAAACTGCAGTCGACTGCAGGACATTTGTTTTCAGAAGAGGCATGTTGAACAGTGACACAAACTGCAAGCAAGATGATATTTTTTAACTGCAATTTTCTACCACTTTTCAGTTCGTACTCCAAAGCTCCGTAGTTCCACGTTCGAGACGTCACAATGATGAAAAAAATATCTTAACGGGAGACTTCAAAATGATTTTAAAGATTGGTTTACATATTCGAAACGTGGTGTCATGGTCGTTGAAACTCTCATTAATTTAAACTCTCCTAATTCAAACTTGCGGATAATTCAAACTAACATGCAGGTCCCATCCTATGCGTCTCTGTGGGAGGGAACTCCTGATAATTCAAACTTTTCTTTATTCAAACAAATTTCCACACCCCCTCGAGTTCGAATTAATGAGATTCGACTGTAATACTTCAAATTATTTTGAAAGTGGACGTCGAAATTGTCACTGCCTATACTCGGCGACAACTTTTCTTGGCAATGCAGTGGAAGGTACAGGCTCGCGTCCCCTCTCCCATTTTGAGTGTACGCAGGCTCTCCTCCTCCCCCATTTTCGGGGAGAGGAGGAGAGCCCGCGCACACTCAAAATGGGAGAGGGGACGCGGGCCTGTACCTTCCACTGCATCGCCAAGAAAAGTTGTCGCCGAGTATAGTAATAAAATCTCCAACAAATCTCTCGCTAACCGTTCCCTCGGATAACCACCTGGAGAGCTGGTCATGAAACATTTCATAAACGTCTTAAGAAGTGGTGCTACGGTGGGGGTTTTTGTCCCCTCGTTTAGCCGTAAGTTTGTGAGGATGCAAAGTGCGCAACGACACCTCTTTTCGACGCTTTTGTACGAAGGGCATGGCGACACTGTGGCTGCGTAACCCAGCTTCCCCGGAAAGATTGGGCTCCCAGCAAAATGTGCCGGCGAGAGTGGTGCGATGCCATACCAGGCGACCGCTTACCTCGCTGATATCATGCATTGCACAAATGCCGCATAAGGAAGCGCCCATGTGGAGCTCTTATTCGCTCGGTCTTGTCCTGGCTGACATCCATAGTGCAGGATGAAAATAACTGGCACAAACCACACGCAGAGTTAGCATGATGGAGCGAACAGGAACTTTTTTTATTAAGTGCCTAAAATTAAAGCTTCCCTTAAAAACATTTATGTTGCGAGAGCAGAAGCGGGTCTCGTAACCTAAATCTTGTAATAAGACTTTTTTTTTATTTTGGAAAAGGGGGGGGGGGGGGGCAAGTTTTTTTGTGGAACTTAGAAGCCCTATTCGGACACTTACCCCCCAAAATTACACTACCTTGGTCATGCTAACACAGGCCGAAGAGCAAAGCACATTTTTTTAATGAGCTGGGCACGGGCTTTGTCTGTATGTGACGACATGAGGTCGCATGACTGTGATGTCACAGGGTGTTATGGTGTCATGTCACGTCGCACTATTCAGTGACGGTTCTTCATGGCGATTCTTTGACAGTTCTTTATGGATGTTCTTTGTGACAGTTCTTTGTAAAGGTACTTTGTGTAGTTGTTTGTGGCAGTTCTTCGTAACAGTTCTTTTGGATGACTTCTTGCGACAGTTCTTCATGAGGGTCTTCTCATAGATTCTGATGATAAAAGGCAGTTTGTTAAAAGCTTATGGGAATGCAGCGTCTTTTTAAGGTCCCCTCTATCAACGTGGTGATAGAGGGGCCCACGGGGGCGGGTCGTGTGCAGGTCCTGCCGGAGGGGGCCCCGTGGAGTTCTCGGACGTGTGCAGGCACCTGCTGGGCCCCTGGGGGGAGCGCTTGGCCATGGCCTTCTCCCTCCTGCCCCTGCTGGGGGCCTGCGTGGTCTTCTGGGTCCTCATGGCCACCTTCCTCTCTGGCACCGCCCACTTTTTGCATGGTGGGTGGGTGGGTCTCCCGTTGGCAGATTTCTCTGTGGAGAAGTCTGGTGGCAGGGTTCAACCCCATCTTCGCCGGACTTCTTTGTTTCTACTTACTTTTGCTCTTCTGGAACCTTCCAGATCGATATTGCGTATTTGTGTCAGTGTTCACCGAGAACAGCCCTGCTGTTTCGTCCCGGCTGCGAAAATAGCCGGGTGGTTTCAGTTAAAATCAAGCACATGTAGGTGTCGGGGTTGGTACATTATTGGCAATAATAAAAAAAAAATAAGAAAAATAAAAGATGACATTTTTTTATGAAGCAGGTTGAAATATGGCTCAAATAATTTTTTAAGAAATTTAAAAATTTTTATACTTGATATTGTGAAAATAATTAACCTAAAAGGGTCAATGGGACATGTATCGACGTACAGGCGTATAGGATTTGATAAGCAGTGTACAATGAATCTTGAGATGCCAGGCTCCAAATACCTATGTCACCAAAACATCAAAGATGCGAATTTTGGCATTTTTTTTATTTTTGGCATGAAATATGCCAAAGGAGTTTAGTTTAAAGAAAAAATACGCCATGTGGGGTACCTTTACAAGAAATATTACTGTGAGTATTTTTGTTTTTACCTATTTCTAACAACTGAGAGAACTGGGTACAAAGGTCAAGCAGCCTGAATGTAGCATTTTACCTTGCTTCACTTCAAAATTGTTTTGAAAAAATATAATTTTTCTAAAAGATTTTTCAAAACAATTTTAAAAGGTGGTTTTATTCATTATGGAAATGGGGCTATAATATATAATTTTCTAGAGAAATCAAAATACCCACCCTGACCATCTCTATGGGGAGGGAGTACCTGGCATTTCAGCCAATTTCGTTCGGCCTACATACTAAGCTTTGCCTGTCGTTTTGTTTTGTTTTTGTTTTCTTGCTTAACTTAAAATTTTCCAGAAATATTTTTACATGCCTCTATTAAATTACTTGAATGCAATTCATTTCCCTTACATTTTAATCCATCTGTACCGCCTTTTTGCGTGCAAAATCGGACTCGAATGATTGAAGCGAGGACAAACAGACCAAACTTGCGACTAAAAACCAAAATTGACCTATGAAGCTGAGCCTTTTCTCATAGTGGGGAAAAACAACAGTGCGGCTGTGGGTCATTCAGACTTTGCACCGAAGAGAAGAGAAAACAGCAGGGATGGTCTTTGCACTTTGTTCATCGTAATGTTTCCATACTTTAAAGGAAGAAAAAAGTTTTGTGAAGGAAGCCACGCCATACAAAAAAGAAGGCATGCACTAGCGATTACAGACATCTGTTCATTCCTGGAAAATGAGGAGTGTGCTCTGTTGTTTCAGGTTCTTTTCGTCAGACAAAGCTTCTTACATTTGTTTAATAATTTTTGCTTCTCTTCTTTCTTTTTTTCATTTTTTTTTTCAGAGTTGTTTGTGGTGTCTTCATGTCTGAGAAGGCTGACTTTTTTATTTGAAACTCCCCCTGAAATGGTTACTGTTCATTGTATCTACAACTCCAATTATTGTTTTTACTTTCTTGTGATTTCTGATCAGTTATAATAGTTCTTCGAGTTTCCTTTTTACCATATGCAAGTGTGATAAAGAGGGAGATGTTATCAAGAAGGTTTTCGACAAGCCATAATTGTGGAGCTCAGAGCTTTATGAACCGGTGTGTTGAAAAAGGAAATTTACTGGATAGCACATTACACATTTATCCGATTTCTATACTTCTAAAAGCCCGGGCATCTATTTGCATTGCTTTGCACGTTCAAATTGTTTGTGCTATATTTTTCAGATGGGCAGTCATCTTCATCTTCAGAGTACTCCTCAAAAAATCTTATTAACAGAAAACCGAATTTGTCAAAATGAATTTGGCATTACTCTTATCGGTTTATTTTGGTTCATAGAAGAAACAAATCCTTTTGAACGAATACAGGGTGATTTCTCGGAGGAACGAAATGGGCATAGTCTTGTTTTTTTTTCTCTTCTGGTCTTGGCCATTATATCAACGCTTCGTCTAGTCTGTACGGAATTTCCAGACTTCACGGTAAACTGGATTTTTTTTTTTTTTCAATTTGGTGATTGTTTTGTTTCAGGTCACATCGCTGGGACGGTTGGAGACGAGAATGGTAAGCTTTTGTCGTCTGGGTTTTGTTGTGCAGAGTTAGTGGGAGGTGGGGGGGGGGGACAGTCTAGTGGGCCTAGAATTTAGAGTGTTTCTGACTGCTCGATCGGCGTTGCCTGGTTTCTCAGCTGCATTTGCGATACGAGCTGCAAGGAGGCCGAGAAAGTGTTGGTCGCCGCTATTCATGATGCGCCATTATTTGTTGCATCTTCATCGTATGTTGATGATGGTGATGATTGCCTTCAAATTGAAACTAACGTAAATTGAAACTGACAATATTCACATATTGTAACAAACATAATCTCAATGTTCACTCGGGCAAATGTTGCTTATGTCTGTCAGCAAACCATCCAAGTATTTATGCTATGAGAGCTATACTAAACACTAGACTTATCTTTGAGAAACTGTATGGCGGGGATCACTAGTTACATCGACGAATGTGTGGCACTAATGATTGTGCAACATTGATTGTTCCTTCCTGAGGCGTGTTTACATACAAAACCACACGCACATGCAGATCAAACCCCCACTAACATCTGTGCCGCTGAAGAGCATCGCGGCTCAAAAAGAGCCTAATTAACCCGTGATTTGTTGCTCAAAAAGGGATTCAATGAACCCATGGTGACATTCTGCAATATTCCCTCCTATACACTGCAAATGAATTTTGCAGCAAAAGCATGAGACAAGCCGGTGTCCTTTTGAGTGGGTCGCGTGTTCAAATGCCATTGACCGAAAAAAAGTTGGGCAGCATAATCACACTTCCTTAGAGTGAAAAAAAGTGGAACACTTCTGCTTTTTGTGGCAGTGTCATGCATCAACAGGGGTATGGCGACAGCTAGGCATTGGACCTGCGTGTACGCGCAGCCTCCACGCTTCCACCACGTCCGTCGCGTCAATGGACTTAAAGGACACATGCAAAGGGAAAAAAAAAACATTATTTTAAACAACCTAGATGGAAACTGAATGCCATAAAACAAATTTATTTTCAACAAAGAAAACAATTTTTAGAGCTATATTTATGGCGCGAAACAAATTTCTAGTTGGTGCCCGCGGGAACTGCCCCTGGTCACGTGGTGGACTTGTGCGCCGCCGCCACAGAGCCACACCGCCGCCGCACGCTAAGCATGGTGCACCGCCGGTTCAAGGCATTTCTCCTACGCCGCCGCCACTTAAAGGGAACACTCCAGCGCGCCGTCGCTGTCAATTTCTGACCGGCGCGCAGGTCTATCACGTGGTGTTTGCGTTTTTTCAGGAGCTTCCCTTGATCTCTAAAAGTTACTTATTAATCTTCGTTTTTTGTTGGATTTCAAACGAAGATGAAGAAGTAACTTTTAGAGACCATAGGAAGCTTTCGAAAAAGCGCAAGCACCACGTGATAAATAGCGGCCAGTCACGTGATAAATAGTGGCCACTTTTCCGCGGGTGCCCACAGGCGCCAACTACTTGCGCTGTAAATAGAGCTCTAAACATTTTTCTTGTTTGTTGGGAATTTGTTTTATGACTTTCTTTTCCTATCCAGGCTGTTTAAAAAAAAAAAACTTTCCTTTGCATGTGTCCTTCAAGTGATGGCGGCACCCAAGGGTTCCTGCTCAAGTTTGTGCATGCGCTGAACGGTTGTCGAGATCAGTCTGTTGCACTACCTCATCATCACTTTCTTTGCAGCTCTGTTTCAAAGACATTTATAAGAGGTCCTTTCATGAAGGAGGCTTATGGTGTGCTTAAGTAAGGGTGGGAGTAATTTCCCTGGTTTTTGGTATTTTTCCCCAGTGGGGGAAGTGTCTTGGATGTGGATTTGCTTTTAAATATCTTTTCTGCCCAAAAAAAAAAAAGTACCGTATTTTTCGGATTATAAGTTTCACTTTCGTATACACGGACTCATCTCTGTTACGTCACGGCACGGTGGTGGCACGTCGGGCGCACTTCCGGTTCGGGGCTGTGGGCAGAAGTCTCCATGTGAGACGTGTATTCCTGCATTGTTTTGAAAGGAATCGGACAAAACCCTGTCTTCTCGTTAAAATGCCGCGACTGGGGCTGTACCAAGAGAGTCGAGAAAGATTTGAAAGTCAGTTTTCATGTGCTCGGTTCGTCCAAGAACGTGGATATGTGCCGTGAAAAGAGAAAACCAGACGCCATCGGACCATGATTGCTTGGGCGAAAAGCACCTTCGGTTGAATTGACGGATACTTGTGGTCATCAGAATTATTTGTTTTGTTACAACATATACACCGGAAAACCGTCAAGTTGTACGGACCACCTGCGGACTACGTTTAGTGCGTCTTCAAGTTCAAACGGCTGCGTGATCGTTCCGTCGTCTGCTCTTTCAGATGTTTCTGCTTGTTGTCTGCTCTTTTAGACGATACCGGCCCGTAGACCAAACGTGGGTCTGGTACTTGCGATAAGAAGTAAATGCGGGCCTCAAAAGACTTAAGTTTAAAGGTTGGTAAGCAGGCTCAATGTAAACAGTAGATACAAGGAGATGCTGATAATCGTTACCAGTGTCCATCATCGACTTTTTATGCCTGATTCACTCGGTCAGATTCTGCTTGCGATTTTCAGTATCGACGTCGACATCTCAGCTACGGTTGAGGCTTTTGCAGCCCGAGCGACGTCATGACTGAAAGTAGCGAGTAGAACGTCACCATGTGAATCAGGCTTTAGCGTCCATTTTGCGGCATCCACGCGGAATGAATCGCCGCTTGTTACATTATTGAGGCGAAGTTTTGCGGTGTAACGAGCCTCGTTAATTTCGCTGAGGTCGCTCAGGTAGTCAGACATTGCCAGGAAGACGTAGAATCAACAATTCGAACACGAAAAAGGGCAGGGGGACTCGCACCGATGCCGAAAACATAGCATTTCAATGGTTTGTTTATGGGCGACGGCGAGCTTCTTGCCCACACTCCATCGCGCATGTGCGGCGCCGGTGGCGTCCGCTAGGGGCGATCCGGTTTGTTTGTAAACAGGATTTGGTGTATATTCAGCTGTTTTCGCGGAAAAGTTGGGATATAGGTCGCACCTTTGTATAAGTCGCCCCTCTTTGCACGGCTCACGCGATGAGCTTTTTTTGTTTTACGCGCATTGGTATCGCGAAATCAGAGTTTAACACAATCGGCTAGATTGCGCACACCGTTTGACACACAACTTTGACATTTTGACTCGTGAGAAATGCCCATAGCATGGCGCTATCTGATGGTGGCAATCAAGTTTTTGCACCAAAAGGACGTAAAACGCACAAAATAAGAACATAGTCTGCTTTATTCGAGCATACGCATGCTAAGGGAATGAAAGTTTATCGTGCCAGACACTTGTGAGCCAAGCTTTAGGCCACTAGGCCTAGCCTAGGCCAAGTTGCAGAGACGACTCGAGCATCGATGCGCAGGCAGATATATAGATCTTGACAAGCTTCTTTCGGTGCCGCTAAAAGAAGGCTAGGCGCAGTCCTTCCTTTTACATGTAGCAACACTGCTGTAGCATGGCAGATAAAAACTGCTCATCAAATATAGGGTGGTTCAAGTCACTAGGCTCGATCTGAAATTGACCGTAAAAATCAATGCCTGCACATACCCATCTAAACTTTTCGTGAAAGGTGTAATTCACAGGCCGGTTTTTTCTTGTAAAATTACAAAGCGTAGCTCTCTTTCTGTAAAAAAATAAGGCGAAGAAACTTGCCAGGGTCTACGGCGGGCAGCAATGCAGACGACAGGGGTCCAGTACAGGGTGTGTTTGGCGTTCGCATTGATAGATGGCGCTACCTCCTCATCGCGACGGCTCGCGATTACAGTGGTTTATTAAAGTTAATATAATCTTTTTGAAATGTACCTTTGGTTAAAAAATAAATGCAAACAATAAAAACAAAACTTAAAAGTAAAAAAACGCGTCTGCATAACGGCGGCACTTTTGCTGCCAACGGATTTCGTCTGCGTGTCGTCTGCTTTCTTTCGCTGGTCGGCTGCACCTCCAAATGCTGCTCCCAACGCCATCTATCAATATGAACGCCGAACACACCCCACTACTGGACTTGGTCGTCTAGGTCGCCGCCCGCCGTAGACCCTGGTAAGTTTCTGGGCCCTATTTTTTTACTAAAAGAAAACTAGGCTTTGTAATTTTAAAAGAAAAACCGACCTGCGAAATACACCTTTGACGAAAAGTTTAGATGGCTACGTGCAGGCGTCGATTTTTACGGTCCATGTTAGATCGAGCCTGGCGACTTGAACCACCCTATAGAAAGTTAGATAGATGCTAGAAAATTTTCTGCAATGCATGTGTATGCCAGCCCACTTACCTTTCAGTGTTACTGGACTGAAGCAAAATGATATGGAACCATGGCTGAATTAGGCAACGTCAATCACATGCTGTAAAAGCTTTATTCTCACTGTCTTGCCTATCCACACTGAGCTGCTTCGGGGAAACCGTAAAATTTCTTGCTTTCTGAGTCAGTTATGAAAAGTGTAACAGCTTAAAGTGCGGTTACAGCAGTGCCTCCTGGAAAGGGCAATACCACCTAAGGCTACGTGGTTACGGTGCCCCACAAAAGATATCGCACGGTGCTTAAAAAATAGTTTGTCGCACCGTGAATTTAAAAAAAAGAAGCATATAAGTTGCATTGTTGTATAAAACTCACCAAGAAAAATATTTTTTTTTAAAAATGCGACTTATACATTGGAAAATATGGTACTCAACTAGATAAGACGGTCAGGGAATTTAGGGAATGTTGTTGCAGCAGGCGTTGCTCATCTGGGAATGAGGATCGATTCCCTGGTTATCGGTATTTCTTATGAGGAAAAACTCCCTTGTTGTGTAGCTTAACATTAGAGAGTTTTCTCTTGTCAGGGAAAAGTCTCAAACTAGAGAAGACAGTTAGGAAACAAAAGAAATGTTGTTAAAACAGATGTCTCTCATTTGGAAATGAGGGTAAATTTTCTGTTTGCGGGTATTGTTTCTCGTTAGAAAAAACTCTTACGTTGTGAAACTTTCTCTGGCTAGCGAAAAGTCCTGAACTAGGGAAGTCTGGTCAGTAAATGTAGGGAGTCTGATTCCAGGGGAGGACCTCATCTGCCGGCACGCGTTCAACGGGACCCTTGGTGTCGAAATGTCACCCTTCTCGGTGCTGGAGAGCAAGTACACCATGCCCCTAGTCCTGGTGGTGTTGCTCTTCCCGGTCATCAACCTCAAGTCTCCCTCTTTCTTCTACAAGTTCAACGCACTCGGTGAGGCAACGTCTCTCAGTGTAACCTGTGGCACCTGAAGTTGAGCCGGTTCTGCAAGAGATCTGTAGTCTCAGCAGGCAGAGAATTAGAACCAACATTGTTTATCAAAATGACTAATTAATTATGTTTGACTAACTACTTAGAATTACATGTGGCATCCTGAGCGGTATTCAACAAGTACCGGCCGTTTGGGAGCAAAAAGAACTTTGTGTCTTTCACCGCAAGGGTAAACTATGCGTCGCCAAATGCTTAGTCTCTGCCAAATGTGGCGTTAGTGGTTGGGACCAGATGCCAAAGTTTCAGAACTCTCCGTTTTCTGCATCAAACTTATGCCGTAAAATCACAAGCAAGCGCCCACTCGAAAATTTGAAGGTAATCATGTAAAACGACGAGCGCCCCTTAGGTCAAGAACATGCAAAGATATGTACTTTGTGTATTTTCCAGATGTTACAAAATTGGGGGGCGGGCACTTATTGTGAAATGGGTGAATGCTCAACGTTTTATGGCAAGCGAGTTTTGGCAACTTTTTTACTAGAAAGTTGCTACCAGCAGTGGTCCAATGGACATGGAGATGAATGGCATCTGGTACCGCGAACAAACTCCATTTTCTCATCAAACATTTTTTTTAGAATTTCTTATAACTTTTAAACCTGACAACGAGAAAAGTTTTGGAGTTATGTCCGATAGCGCTACAGTTGGGTGGAGAAAAGCATTTGGAAATTTACTGTTTACCTGTGCAGTGAAAACACACTATTCTGTTTTCTTCAAAACGTCCGGTACATTTCTAAACACTTTTTTTTCCAGTTGGTGATGATTCATAAAAACTTGTGATGTTGTCTGTTTCCCACCTCCCTCTGGAGCACCTTTGAGGATAATAAAACTGAACGGAAATTTTTTTTTCTCACATTATGTATCATTTGTTACGTCTGCATATGTTTCTATCGCATAACTGGAGTTATGTGTTTTCCGATAAATCCGAAAAAACCCTCCGTTAGTTTTCATTAATTCGGATTTGTCTGATAGAACTCCAAACTTCAATGTATCAATGAAAAATATAGAAAAGAAAAGGACGGTATTTTAAAGTTTGGTCAGCGCACAGGGTCAATGGTCTTGAGAAAATGCCACCCCAGTTTTATTTTGAATCTCGGACCATTGACAGAAGGGATCTTCTCGCTTATCTCGTCAAGGTCCATTCGAGACAACAGGTCTTTTTTCTTTTGGGTCACGACAGAAACCACTGTTCTGGCTTCCAGTTTGTGCCATGCTATTTGTGTTTCTCAGAGGAAGGTAGGGTTGTGTTTTTGTCGCAGTGAAAGTTATGAACCATAGAGATGGCATAAAAGGGGGAAGAGGGGGTGGGCAGTTGAAGGTTCTATATTTTACCCTTCACCACTCCACCCTGCGTAGCCACGGGGTAGTTGGAGGGATAGGATTGGATGAATACTGGCTTCCCAGCGACTTGATCTATTGATTATGACCAGTTTATTGATTTTGAGCTACCGACTTTTATCGATGCAACACTTGTTTGCAACTGTTGTCGTGGGACAAATTAGTATTGCCTGTTGCAATGGTGCCAATGCTGAATCTAGCTAAACAAAGATCAATTGATACAACCGCATTCTTTTGAATCTAGCACACATTTACACCCGGACATTATTTATTTTTATATTTGAAAAATAGAAAGCACTAAAATTAAGTCTAGAATTTTGGAAGAATTCGGAATCGAACAAAAATAAATTCAGAATTTTCGGCAAAAAAGCAAACTCCGAAGAAAACTCTCGGAATTTGACAAAAAACGAATTTAGAAAACACGGGATCCTACACATAACCGACCACAAAGGATGTTGCGATTCTAGCAGATTGTCGTCACTAAAAGATGCCCTTGTTCACATGTGATTTGTATGTTTTCTCTTTGATATACCTGACTGAAATTTTCCTTCATCGATTTTCCTTGAGATGAAACAGTTGGTTCCTGAATGTGGTGTGGCACCAAAGTGCCCCTACCGACCGCCCTGACCAATCGTGTGATCCAATGCCCATATTTTTCTCTCCCGTGCCTCAGGGACGGTTTCGGTGTTCTACCTCCTCATCTACATCCTCATCAACGCTTTTACCTGGGGCATCAATGTGGACTTTGTGGATGAGACCAGCACCTCGTACGTTCCATGTAAGTCGTAGAATTAACCCCTTGCCTACTCATTTTTTTTTTTTTTGTTCAAGGAATGTTCAGAAAAATTTTAGTTTAAACAGGAGATTGGTATCATAATAAGACAAAAACATTTCCTCGACTTCGAGGTATGGTGTCTTGCTCTAAATCAGGACTTCTGGTCTGAGCCACACTGATGTGCAGATGCCAAAGTTGATAAGATGCTCGCAGGATTTGCACCGTTTTTGTCGCTTCCGTCAACGTCCATCAAACTATCGTCTGACTCCGAAAAATTAGAAAAGCTGAAAGATTCATTATCACATATGCCTGAGCATTAATCACTTTTAAAAAGAAGGTCTCGTAACTCTTCCTTGGCTTAGGCCGACCTCCGCGCCAAAGCCACGTAGTTTTAGTGCACATTTTACGAGGGACGGTTTTATTTTTCCTTGGCTAAATGGAGCATTTTTTCTCTGTCAAACAGCAAAACCAACGACCAAACAACCCAAGGTAAATGGTGCAACAGGGGTGGTTTCACCATCTGTCAAAGAGCGGGCTTAACAAGCATAGAAACCGAAATGCGAGTCACTTCTCGTGGTCGGGCTTTATGGTCCGTAAGGGGTGAAACAAGCATGGGCGTACCAACCGGGGGGGCAAGGGGGGCGCTTGCCCCCCTCTAGTTCTCAGAGTGGGGGGGCAAGACATGTGTTTTGCTCCCCTCCCCCTGAAACAACTGCTACTGGGCAGGGCAAACACTGGCCGGCGGCGCCCAAGGAATACCAAGGGCACAGCCTCCCGACCCTGGGGGGGGGGGGGGGGGAGGGGAGTGGGGGGAGTGGGGTTCTGGTGTGATTTGCCCGCCCACTCAAAAAGAAGTTGGTACGCCACTGGAAACAAGTGGCAGTTGTTACGAGTATGCAAGGGGGAAACGTCTTATGCATTGCGGCCACCTCAAAATAGTGGGGAATAGACGTTAAAATCGATGGTCGCAAGTGTCTCATTTTGCTGGTGTCGCTTTAATAGGCACAGAGAAGCAGCAAATCATCACTTATACAACCTGTATCGAGTTGTTCTGCTATCTAATTTTGCGGGAAAATATCCTATGAAAAGACATAGACTTGGCAACCCCTCAAAAACCTTCAACTTGTTGCAGCAAAACAAACACGCCTAACGTGTCGCCTGCTTCCTTTCTCCACTCTTCTGGCGCTCTCTTTTGCGTCCTACCTCTCGGGGTCATCGACGATGGCGCTTACGTACTTGGTATTTGCCACGTTCTGCCTCAGCCTTTACCTCCGTTATATAAATTGCCCGTTTATTCCCTGTGTAATGGGGGCTTGGAAGGAACGCTGTAGCGGATACCCACGCCTCCAGCAAACACTGCGGGGAACTCTTCAACTCCTCTCATGTCCACATTCCTTACGCGAGTAATGGACACACTGTGCGTAAACAGGGCTTGTGCTCCTACGCTTCCACAGAACACCCATACAGCCAGTCATTGCATTACACATAAAGAGCATACCAGGTACTGAAGTCAACAAAAAGAATCCTCCGCGTCTCGCATGAGAATGTTGTCTCCTACCCATAAATCTCTGGCCTCTTGTGTCGATCACCGTGAATTGCTCTCCGCATACTTTGTAGGAGATGGACTCGCTAGCTTTGTCCGTGAATGGTGCGGCTGTAGTAGACTAAGTGTGGTATGCGATGTTTGAGGTTAGATTGAAAAGTTTCCGGAATCGCCGTTAGGGGACTTTTTTTTCCAAAATATTTTTGTCACCGTGTTGGCAATCTTTTTGTATGAGATGACCACAAATGTCAGATTGAAATCTCAAAACGCCTGGCTTTGACAAGCACTCTAGTCGAGCAACCATGAGCAGTTTCAATGATGGAGAAAAATTAAATGCTAGCGGTCACCAAATTTTTTTTATTGGGTGGGAAAAAGGTGCAACGGACCGCCCCTCCCTAAGCTCCCGAAGGTTAACTTTGTTTTAATAAAATCATTGATATACACCAATCAAAAGTTTAGTTTTTGGTGACATAGCAAATATTGGGTCAACAATTAGATCTCGGCAATGTTTTGAGCGTAACGTCGCATCTCAGCAGACTCCCCCTGCCTCCCATCCGCCAGCCGATTGCCTACCACCCCCCCATGCCTGACCCATAAATCCGCATCTGGCACCGGATGCCTTGCTTCCCTGCAGTGTTCAGGACCACCTTTCCTGCCCTGACGGGGGTGCTGTGCCTGTCCTTCTTCATCCACAACTGCGTCATCTCCATGATGCGCAACCAGAAGAACCCCGAGCACAACGTGAGTCCTTGTTGCTAACGATGCGCAGCTTGCGTTCACTCTAGCAAACGACAACAGCAAATAACCAATTAGTATGCTTCTAGATTGACAGAGACATGGATGTTTAATTAGTTACGACAGTGGTTCTCAATCATTGATGTTTTGCTCTTGTGGATCAACAGAGGTGATGGTGGGGGAAAGGTTTAGGTTAATTATGATAACGATTGAATAAATGGTTATAACTAAGGGCTAGTGTGAAGTAGACTTCTCCCATTGACATACACAAGAGAAATTTCACCTGAAAATCAAAATGTTTCTTCTCAATTCAAAAAACAAAAAAACAAAAAAAATTCCCGGGATTGATTTATGAGGAAGGGCTTCGTGGAACCCCAGAACGTCTTTGCGGACCTTCATTTGAGAACCACCGAGTTACGGAAAGAATGGAATGTTTGTGCCTGTGCAGTTTTGTTTGATTTGTGTTACTGAACATGTATTTGTCTTTCTTTGTTGCGATCAGCCTCATTTTTACCAGACGGGAGGAGGAGGAGGAGGATTTCCGTGAAGTAGTAGAGAGGCCGGAGTTTGTCATGCGGGAAAAACGCCGACGATGTCCCGTCCGAAGAACAGAGGGAAACGTAAAGAAGAGCAGAGAAAGGAAATAGGAGATGGGGAAGGAGAAAGGAAGGAAAGAGAAGGAAAGCCGGCGTTCAGTGTTAGTAATCACTTGTCGCTACACATCCACACCCACACACACACACACACACGTGCTGTTCTGGAATCGGCTGCTTTTAAAATTGTGCTAAAAGTCCAGAGTCCTTTAAGAAACGCAAAAAAAGGACCTGCATATGTCTGCGACGGGCTCGAGAGCCCCGTGGGAAAATAATGTCATCAGTTTCCTCAAGTGGAGGACGAAGGTCCTGAAGTTGCTGGGAGAATCTCTGCCTTTGAACGTTATATTTAGGACATTCCCAGAGCATGTGCTCGGCGTCTTCTAAGACCTTGCAAGCGTCACATAGAGGCGACTTCCTTCGGCCCCATCGATACAGTACTTTTCCGGTTTTCGCACTTCCAGTGCGGAGGCGAAGTAGAACTGTAGCTTCTGCTCGGCTGAGACCACCTAGGAGGCAAGGTTGGTGCCCTGATTCTGCCGCAGGACCCAGTGATGAAATATGCAGGCGAACTTGCTTTTGGAGCCAGCGGTCGTCTGTCGGACACTTGAGTGTCGGAGCGAAATCGTGGGCTCGAGAAGCGAGACGATCTGCTGTTTCATTTCCGCTTACTCCCACGTGGGAGGGCACCCATTGGAAATGAATGGTGAAACCAGCGTCTTCTAGTGCATAAAGAGCTGTTCTTGTTGTTTCCACGAGTTCCCCTATTTGGGTTTGCTTGCGTAGACAGAAAAGGGCTCCACGGGAATCAGTTAGAATGATGGTGGGCTGAGGCAGATACGTCTGTAGAGCCTTTAAGGTTTTGCCGTCTGGTAAGCTCCACTACGACAGCCGAACTTACCAGACGGCAAAACCGTAAGTTGTTGTGCTGTAGTGTTTGATGTGAAGAAAGAAGAAGTGATGAGGTGAATAAAGAACGAAGAAGACAATGAGAATGGTACTGCCATGTCGGCGTTTCCTGCTTACTCTGCTTAATCAATCGGCTACACTACATTTGGCGACGAGGTAAAGTGGTTTTCATCTTCATTGACGTCGCAGCGTCTGCCATGCGAAGCTTGGAATGAGTCGTGCAATGCTGCCGCCGCTTCCTTCGTTTCTTGAACGCCTAGGAGACCTGCGGCCCCATGGGACCAATGGCGGCGCATATTCGAAAATTCCCTTGACTGCGTCGACGAGGCTTCTCTTACGCCGAATTGGAAAAAGGCCTTAGGAACAGAAGGTCAGCGAGTCTTCTTCACGTTGCCTCACGTCTCTGCCGCTTTCCTTACTACACTGCTTACTGCAACGGCGTCCAGGTCAAGTGCTACTGCTTCCGCGTCAAGTGTTACCTCTACTATTAACGGGTATCAAGATGCTCTTGCGACTCTGGAGGCACGGTACGCAGCGACGTACAATGTATTTACAGAACGCCTCAAGTTTCGCCAACGTACTCAAGCTCAAGGCGAAACAATTGATGAGTTCCTTACTGCATTACGAGGACTTGCACAAACTTGCAATTTTGGCTCGTCACCGGACGAGGCGATACGAGACCAACTGGTAGAAGGAGCTTCCATGGCCCACGTCCGGGAACAACTTCTCCTGGAAGGTTCTGCACTTACCCTTGAAAAGGCTTTGAAATTGGCACGCAGCGTGGAGCAGTGTAAGAAGGAAGTGCAAGCCACAGCGGACTTTCCTGCGGTTGTTCAGAAGCTACGAAAAGTCAGAGGAAAGGACTCGAAGCAAAAATATCAACAAGGAGTTGACTTCTCAGCCCCTCAACAGAAAACATGCTACCGTTGCGGCTCAGCAGGTCACCTAGCCAATGTTGCTACTTGTCCAGCAAAGAACAAGACTTGCGTAAAATGCAAAAAGCAAGGACATCTAAGCTCTGTTTGTCGGAGTACGGCATCAGCAATGGAGGCGGTTAACTCACACCACCAGTAACAACGAAAACTTGAGTTTGTGTGAGACACGAAAAGAAACCGATCCTGTCACAAAAGTCTTGGAAGTTGCAGAAGTTCGCAACTCTGGAATTTATGTGACAATGCAAGTGGAAGATCAAAATATCAAATTCCTTTTGGACACTGGTTCTGCGAAAAAATTGTATGGGTGCAGGCGAGCTGGTGAATATTAACCATGTTGAATTAACCTGAGACTGGGGTAGAGAAGAAACATAAAAACGTAGAAGGGACAGACGTCTTCCTGTCTATTTTCTGTCCCTTCTACGTTTTGATGTTTCTTCTCTACCCCAGTCTCAGGTTAATTCAACACTGGTTCTGCGGTTTCTATTATTTCACATGAAACCTACCAGACGAAATTTTGTACCAACCACCCACTTCAACCAGCTGCAGTGCAACTACAGAACTACTCAAGGCAGCGCATCCCATTACTTGGATGTTTTGTGGCAACTGTCACGTAGATGGGTTCCTTGGCACCACTTGTGCCTTACGTCGTGGCACAAGGGACAACACTGATGGGACTGGATGGACTTTCTGCTTTGCGTCTCCGCATTCAAGGATCCACTCTACAGTGTATGCAAACGTCGGCTCCAGTTTCAACGGAATTGATTTCCATCGTGGATTCTACTTATGCCCACCTGTTTACCCCAGGAATAGGTCTGGCAAGGGGATACGAACAACAGGTCAAGGTGAAGAAAGAAGTCCTAGCTGTTGCTGTAAAACTCCGTTGATTGCTACTTATAGTTCGGATAAAGTATCGAAAGAGCTTCACTGCTTACTATAAATGGACATTATCAAACCGATCAGCGCATCTGAATGGGTATCGCCCATTGTCGTTGTCAGAAAAAAAGATGGGAACCTACGGCTCTGCGTGGATCTCCGTGCTCCAAACAAAGCAATCGTTGTAGATTGCTTTCAACTACCAAACACGGAAAAGCTGCTGAATGCTTTGAATGGGGCCAAGGTACAGTGTAGACCGCATATAACGTATGTCGCGGGAGTCGCGAAAATCCGCACTATAAGCGGTACCGCACTATAACCAAAACATCAATTTTTCAGGCCAAAATACATGCCATGAGACAACTTACACTTGTGAAAAGAATTTATTTTATGTTAGATGAAAAATAAAGCTTAGTTTGAGGAAAGTCGTTATTTCACCTGACTAGTACAGTTCCGTCTCAAGTGTGTTACACATTTTGAAAGAAATGAGCAGCTTTTGCCTGGCGCAGCCTTTTAACGGCGTCGCGGGTTGCGGACGGACGTTGAAAGCGTTCAGGATTGCTAACCCTAATCACTTTTCTCCGGAGATGAAAACGCGTGAAAATTCGTATCCTTCACACGGAACGCGCCAGTAATACCTTGAACTTGAGCGCACGCATGAAATGCACCAAATAAGAAATCCGGGCGATGTTCGAGGACACAAATGCTTAGAAATCACCACTGTAGTCGAAGTAAACAAACACGACGACACGGGCGTTTCTGCCGTCTTGAGAGCGCCGCCACGACATCGCCGCACGGGTAGGTGGATCTTCTTTTCTAGTACGTGCTGGGTTATCATAGCGACACACAACGAAAATTCACAGTCAAGGATAGCGCTTTTATGCGGAACGATGAGATGAACGCCGCCTACGACGACGATCACAACCGACGCCGTGTTTGCGGATAGAAGCAGCCGACCCGCGACCGGCATGTAACGCGCGCAACACTTCTCCTCGACCTGCGATTGGTCTGTCGCTGCGGTTGTTTGTTTCCAACGCAGCGGAGGGACGCACGCACGTGAACGACACGTGCGTGCCTCCCTCCGTCGCTATGGCAACTGAAGCCTTTCGCTTCTTCCCGCTTCTTCGAGCAACTCGGCCGACTCGGCTCTGGAGCAACTGCCACGCGAGTGCCGCTTGCTGCTCGCGCCGTCAGCACGGTTATCTAGTGTCGCACAGGGAAGCGCGCTCGCTGCTCCGGTCGTCGGCGCGGCCGGCGGGCTGTTCGAGAAACCGCACTATAACCGGTATTTCCCTTCGCGCGCCTGCATTTTAAGCGGTATGTAATTACATGGAGTTCTATGGGAGACGAACCGGTGGTTTAAAAAAACCGCGTTATACCCGGTCCTGCACTATAAGCGGTTACGTTGTAAGTGGTCTATACTGCATTCTCAAAACTGGACCTACCAGCAGCTTACCATCAAGTCCTTCTTGTGCCGGAAAGCCGTGACCTCACAGCATTTATCACGCTTCAAAACCTTTACCGCTTCAAAAGAGTATGCTTTGGCTTGGCATCTGCAGCCTCAGCGTTCCAGAAGATGATGTCTGACATATTTCACGGATGTAGTGGTGTCCTTCGCTATCTCGACGACATCATCATCTTCGGTTCTGACACAGATGACCATGCAAAGAACCTGCTGAAGGTTTTGCAGCGCATC